ATAGGGGGGGAAATGAGGATTATTAGATGCTCGACAACATAGCCAGACCTCGTAGTAAAAAGAATCAGCCATAGACCCAGACCCCCTAGAAACAGGTGCCTTTGTTCCCTACCCAGGTTCTCCCTGCTGATTGAGTGCTTCTGCTCTCTATTAGCTATCTCAAGTGTCTGTTCCTTCCTGTGTGCTCCTCTCTCTCTCCCTCTCTCTCTCTCTCTCCCTCTCTCTCTCTCTCTCCCTCTCTCTCTCTCTCTCTCTCTCTCTCTCTCCCCTCCCCTCTCTCCCCCTCCCCCTCTCCCCCTCCCTCCTTCCCTCCCCCCCCATTACTAAAGCTCATCTCTGCATTACAGAGGAGAGTATCTGATTGATGCACTTGATGACTTGTTGGTGCCAGGCCAGCTTGATTTTCCAGCTGAGAGATAAGCCAGCTGAGAGATTCTCTGTTCTTGGGCCATGTGGTACAAAGCCTGGTGCCGCATAAAACCTGTCACAAGGGCCAGGGGCATAGCGAGCACTCAGCATTATCATTTCCCCTCCTTTATAACAATTGGTTCACTTTTAACTTATTAAGGACAGTTATTAGACTGAATTTTTCCCCAAACTAGTCAGCTACATATTTCTAGATTAAGGTTTAGAAGAATTGCTGATCTCATTTCTGAATGTTGAGGGGTTTTTCCTCCTAATTTCATTCTTAGGTGAATTTCGTTCTTAGCCACAAACAAGGCAGCCTTCACCACCTTTTGGCCACAATTTAAAACAAGCTCATGGTGCTGATTGTTGGTCTAAGGCAGCCCATCTGTTAGAGACTATGAAGGGAAGAGAAAATTCAAAAATTCAAAACAAAAATGATGTTTCCATTCTTGTTAGCATCTCTAAATTTGGAGGAAGAAGAGATTCAAGCGTGAGCTGAAATAAGGTCTCTGGATTATTAGCTCCAGATGGGTTTGAATCCTGGCTTTCCCATTTACTAGAAGAGAGAAGAGTATCTTTTCTAAGCTTCCATTTACTCATGAATAAAATGGAGATCATGGTATTTGCCTCCACATGGTATGTGATTTTTAGGATTAAATGATAGCGTACATGCAAAGCAGTCAGCAAAGTGCCTGGCACAAAATAAATGCTTGCTAAATGTTAGCTCTCATTATCTCTAGATCATTAAGTCTTATTAATAATAAAGGTTACCATAGTTCGTCATTAAGTTGTAAGTGCTAATGGAAACTAACATTTTTTGTGCATGAGCTGAGACCTAATTACTGAGCCCTTGTTTACATAGTGCTGTGCCAGGTAAACAAGTCCCTTCCTTCCTTCCTTCCTTCCTTCTTTCCTTTCTTCCTTGGTTGTTTTTTGTTTTGTTTTGTTTTTTTAATGATTTTATTTCTTTTTAGGGAGAGGGGAAGAAAGGGGGGAAGGCGGGGAAAAAAACATCGATTTGAGAGAGAGACATCAGTTGGTTGCCTCACACACCCTGACCGGGGACCAGATCTGCAACCCAGGCATGTGCCCTGACTGGGAATCAAACCAGCGACCTTTTGCTTTGCAGTATGACCAACTGAGTCACACTGGTCAGGGCAGTCTCAGAAAAATTTTTTAAGGACACTCAAACCATGGTATTGTTGAAATTCGGACTCTGTCACTAGCTGTTTAACTTTGGACAGATTACTTCTGTGTGTCTCAGCTTCTTCATTCTGTAAAATGGGGGAAATACCACCTATGATTGTTATAAGGAATAAATGTGTTAATATATATAAAACATAAAACAGTGCCTGATATACAAGTTGCTGCTGCTAGATTACAATACCTAGCGGTTGAATATGTGAAGCCTCCTTGGCCTAACTGACTAGTCTTTTTCTTTTTTTCGTTTAAAGTGTATAGGTTTCTGGGCAATTTTATAGAATCTAGGTGGTAAGAAAGGAGTGAACTGAAGGACATGACCTGTAATCTTGTTTCATTTTGAAATTGGACACCAGGATTTCCGTTTGTTTGTTTGTTTGTTTGTTTGTTTTATTTTTTAAATGATTTTATTTACTTATTTTTAGAGAGGGGGGAAGGGAGGGAGAAAGACATATCAATGTGTGGTTGTCACTCAGAGACCCTCCACTGGAGACCTGGACTGCAACCCAGGCATGTGCCCTGACTGGGAATTGAACCAGTGGTCCTTTGCTTCAGAGTCTGGTGCTCAGTCCACTGAGCCACACCAGCCAGGGCATATTTTGCCAGCACTCCTTTGATGATACAAAGCTGATTTTTGCCCCAGTACAATGTCCTTTTGTGGGGGCAAGAGGGAACGGATGTCCGTGATGTAAAACTAGGGTATATAGGAAAGGGGCAGTTTGAATCAAGACCTTTGATTTTAGCTGAAAAATCTAGCAAGTAAGGGATTTTCCTAGTTAAAAGTTAGGCTAGTGTGGCTTAGTGGATTGAGTGCCAGCCTGTGAATCAGAGGGTCTCAGGTTCAATTCCCAGCCAGGGCTCATGGCTGAGTTGTGGGCCAGGTCCTGAGTAGAGTGTGTGAGAGGCAACCACACATTGATGTTTCTCTCCTTCTCTCCCTCCCCTTCTCTCTAAAAATAAATAAATAAAATCCTTTTTTTTTTTTTAAGATTTTATTTATTTATTTTTAGAGAGGGAAGGGAGGGAGAAAGAGAGAGAGAGAGAGAAACGTCAATGTGCGGTTGCTGGGAGCCGTGGCCTGCAACCCAGGCATGTGCCCTGACTGGGAATCGAACCTGCAAATAAATAAAATCTTTAAAAATAAAATGTTACGTCCCTTCTTAAAGGGGGAATTTGCTCCCGATTTATATTAATGTGACGTGAGACTAATGTTTTCTTTCCATATAGTGATATTGAACATGTTTTCATTATGTTTATTGTTCACTTACATTACTTTTGTGAATTGCCCGTTCATGTCCTTGGCCTATTTTGTTTGTATTTTATTTGTTGTGCTTGTGATTATCTTTCTAGAAAGGGCACATTAACCCTTGCCAAATATGTTTCAGATATATTTTCATTTGGTCAATTGTCATCTTTTGCCCTTGGTTGTGCTTTTTTATTTTAACTGCACAGAAACTTTTAATGTAATGAATCTATAAATTTTTCCTGAAAAGTATTATCTCATTATGGTTAGAATTTTTGCTGAGTGCTGCTGAGTATCATAGTTCGTATGTGGACTGATACATTTAAAAGCATTTTTTCTTACAAGTAGGTCATTGATTGTAGCATTTAAAGACATTGTAAACCAACATAGGTCTGAGACTATAACACTGTAATAATAGCTACTACTTACTGCACACGGGCTGTGTGCCAGGCACTGTGCTAGGTCTTTTATGTACTGTGTTCTCAGTACTCAGCTTCAAGCTAAATATTCTTGTCCACAGTTCCTTGATGAATAAAGTAGGGCTAGAAAAAATGAAATCATTTGCCCAGGGTCAAAGAGCTAGTTAGTGACTAGATTGGAATTTTAATTCATCTGCCTCACTCCAAAGTATATACTTTTTGTACAAAGCTCGACTCCTTGAGGCTTCAAATAAATTAAATTGGTCCTAAAAGTTAAGTAAATACTTTTTAAATTATTTATTTATTTATTTTTAGAGAGAGGGGAAGGGAGAGAAACATCAATGTGTGGCTGTGTCTCTTGAGCCCCCTACTGGGGACCTGGCCCACAACCCAGGCATGTGCCCTGGCTGGGAATCGAACTGGTGACTCTTTGGTTCACAGACCCACACTCAATCCACTGAGCCACACCAGTCAGGGCTAAGTAAATATTTTTTACAAAAACTTGAAAAGATGGTCTGTAGCCTAGTTAGATTGCTGTAGGTTCCGGAGAGCACAGTAAGTAAGATAATGAGAAATATGTAAACTGGCTGAAAGGAAAGTCTCCACTGTCTAGGGCAGTGGTTTTCAAAGTGATTCCCAGACCAGCAGCGTCAGCATCACTTGGGCATTTGTTAGAAATGCAGAGTCTCAGGTCCCACCTGGACCTTCAGAATCAGAAACTCTGGGGTTGGGGCCCAGCCATCTGTTTTATAATACCTCGATCTGATTATGATGCATGTTAAAGTTTGAGTGCCACTGGTCTAGGGAAATTATTTTATTCTAATTATAATTTCTGCTCTTGTGAGCTTCAGCCTAAGTTTCAGCCCTTAAGTGCAAAATTAGTGTCATCGAATAGTGGCAAAGCTGGACTCAAACAGGAGCTAGTTTTGAGTCCAGTTTAATAAGCACTCAAGGCAAGTCGACCTCCCTGAGCTATAGTTTTCCATCCCTAAAATGATATTAATAACATCTATCTCCATATTAAGGTATTTTTTAGAATTAAGGTAATGTGTAAAGTGCATACTAGCACCTTGCTAGACTCCCGGGTACTTGAGAAATTGCCTCCAGCAATTTTTCTTGTTGAGCAAAAAGCCTCCACCCCCTTCTCTTCTCAGTTTCTTCTTTCTTGAATGTATTTCGCTGTCTCGAGTCTCTAGGCCTTGGTGTTAGCAATTTCTCTTGGGCACTCCCACCTTCTACCTTTCTTTGTCTCACTAACTTCTTACCTTCTTTAGATCCTTGCTTATAGTTTCCTTCCCTTGGAGGGGGCTTTCTCTAAGCCCCCAGCCCCTAGTCTCTGCTCACATTGCGGCCTGTATTTTTTGTCACTGCACATATCACAAATTTTGGAATCACCTGAGGGCAGGTACATCGTCTGATGCGCCACCATATTCTAGAGGCCAGTAAAGTTCTTCACACATTGTAGGGGCTAATAAATATTGAATGAGTGAATGAATGATGGCTGTCCTTATTGTTATTCATCATCATCGTCATCGTCATCATCATCATCATCATCATCCAAGAACAAGCTTTCCTCTCTAGTTTGTAGTTTTGTGCTGAGCACTTGTAATAGTCATAAATAGACAGTATTAGGACCGGTGCCTGTTTTCTCCTTCTCTGAAAGCTTTGACCTAGGCTGCCATGGAAGTTCGCTGGGTGGCTTCCTAACCACTGATCTCTTTGTCTTGCAGGTGCCTTGGTGGAACTATATTCTTTGATGGATCAAGTTCATCATAGGCATAACCATCCACATCCTTCGGACCTCACCATTCGGTGAGTGGGTGATTAGGAAGAAGGACAGGGTGGAATTTAGCTCTAGGAGGGATGTGGTGGGCAGGTGGGTTATAATTGTTGTTTAATTCCAGAGCTGGAAAAAGAAACATTACAGTATAATGGATAAGAACTGGACCAAAATTCAGGAAACCTAGTTCTAATACTAGCCTTGCATTTTTTTTAATTGGCTGTATGATTTTTTAAAAAATATTTTTTAGCCCTGGCTGGCGTAGCTCAGTGGATTGAGCGCGAGCTGGGAACCAAAGTGTCCCAGGTTCGATTCCCAGCCAGGGTACATTCCTGGGTTGCAGGCCATAACCCCTAGCAACCGCACATTGATGTTTCTCTCTCTCTCTATCTCCCTCCCTTCCCTCTCTAAAAATAAATAAATAAAATATTTTAAAAAATAATAATAAAATAAATATTTTTTAGATTTATTTTTAGAGAGGGGGGAAGAAAGGGAGAAAGAGGGAGGACAGAAACATTGATGTATGAGAGAAACATTGATTGGTAGCCCCTCGCATGCCCCCAAGCAGGGACCTGGCCTGCAACCCAGGCATGTGCCCTGACTGGGAATTGATTGAACTGGTGACCTCTCATTTTGCAGGATGACACCCAACCCACTGAGTTGAGTTACACCAGCCAGGGCTTAGCTGTATGATTTTGATCTAATCACTTTACTTTTCTGGTCCTTGCATCAGTAAAATTAAGATGTTGGACTAATGGATGTCAAAGGGCCTTTCTAGTTGTGAAATCTTCTGGATTCTTGATGTAGTGTTATTTTACAGATTTATTCAGTTACTTTGATCCAGTTACCCAGAAACCTTGGAGTCATCTTTGATTCCTTTCTCTCTTACCCTATATTCGGTCCATTTGCAAGTCCTATAAGCTCCACGTACAAAATATACCTAAAGCCTGGCCATTTTACACCATTGTCCCCTGGATTATTGCAAATTTCCTAAAATGGCCCCCCTGCTTCTGCTCTCACCTTGCCCTCCGTTCTCAGCTCAGCAGTCAGAGAGGTCTTCAAAGCATAAGCCATGAATCAGATCCTCCTCTTTGCTCAGAATTTTCCAGCGGCTTTTCATCTCACATCTTCCCGTCTTCATGACCCCCTGCCTCTCCTGTAAGGATGGTGGCCTCGGGTGACATAATTAGCTCGCTGACTTCATCTCCTGTTACTTTTGCTTTGTTCACTCTGCTCCAGTCACACTGGCGAGCTTGCTACTTTTCAGGTATTTTAGACACTCTCCTACTTCAACCTGTACACACTCATTGTTCCCTCTGTGGTTGTCAAAAAGACAGTGTAGTGTAATGGTTATTAAATAAATTCTGGATTCAGGTGTGAATTCACATCCTGGCTTTTCTACTTCACTATATAACCTCCGTGACCCTGAGCAAGTTATTTCACCTGACGATCAGTTTCCTTAGTGTACGAGTTGTTAATGAGAGTGCTTTTCTCATAGGATTGCCATTAGCATTAAATGAGAGGAGGTGCTTTAAAGAATTCAACAAGTGCTTACATGCAGAGCTAGGTAAATGTCAGGTACTGTTATAATTATTTTCAATCCTGGCTGTTCCTTATAATCACTTGTGGGATGTCTAAAAATACAGATGTCCAGGCTCTGACTGCCAGGATTCTAAATCCTTAAGTCTGGTGGTGAGACAAGACTTAATGATTTGATTCCTGGAGGGGCCAAGAATCTATGTCTTTAAAAAGCCTCCCAGGTGGTTGTCAGGAGCAGCTGGAGTTGAGATTGGACTCCCGTCGTCTCATCAGGTCGTGTGCGGAGCCCCAGCCCAGCACGTGACCAAAGAAGGCTCTCAAGAAACTCTTAAGTCTGTGCTATTAATTGTTCAGTCTCCAAACTTGCAGTGTGATACTCACATGACGACTTACCTTCCCTGGGAATTTTATTCTAATTTTAACCACTGTGTCCTGAGCAACCTTGAGCTGTGCCAGACAGTGAGGCCCTGTTGGAATACAGCTCCGATGCAGACAGCGGAATGTAGATCCTGCTCTAAGTGTTTCTGGAGGGAGAGACTTTCCCCACTTAATCATTAGTATACACTGTACGTGGGGTTTTCTTGGGACATTTGCGGATGTGGCACTTACCACCATATTGCCTGTCTGGGAATTAGGTAGCTTTGGAATTTGGAAGGAAATAGCAGTTCTATTGTAAGTTTCATATCAAATTTCTATAATTGTTGTGAGAATTGAAATACAAAATTAATACTTGATTTCTTAAAGTAATGATGTTCTTAAAATAGTTGTATACAAATAGCCATACGAGCCGAAACCTTCATCTTTTCTATTTTCACTTCCCCTCTCCTGACAGAAACTACGCCCGGCTCCGACAGAAGCCTCTGGAAAGGTGCAGTCTGACTGAGTGGGTGGACAGGAATCAGCGCAGCCACCCGCGGTTCCAGAGCCTCTGAGACGGCGTCCGGGGCGGCTCGCTCGCCGCGGCCCGTCGGCAGTGGGCGCCCCTGTTCAGCGTCCCGTCCGGAGCAGCAGCTCACCTTCTGCTCTTTCGTGCTTTGGAGATTTTGAGTTCTATTTTTCACAATATTTTTATTTAAAGAACTTGTCGCCTTTTGGAAATGCCCGTTACTGACTTGAATTTTTTGTATAAAGTTCGTGTGTGTGTGTGTAAGCAGTGTTTAGTTGTTACAGTTTTTGTTTTTTCCTTTAAGTTGAATGTGGCCGCCTCCTGAAAGCCAACATTAAGCCAAAACACCCGTGGCCTAAGCAAAGCCCCACCTTCGTGCAGGAGGAGAGTTTACTGGTGCCCAAAGGAAAGCATCTTCTACTCTCTGAGGAAGAGATCCTTTGTCAGGCTGCAGGGGGGTGTTGCTCCTGCTCACCCGGTGTACATGGATACAAGTCACTTTTAACAGCCCCTCTTATTTTCTTATTTGAATCTCTCAATCCTGTCAAAATGTTCGAGTTGGTAATCTGAGATATTTGAAGCAGGATGGGGCAGGACCAAAGTCCTGTTGAAAGGACACATTAAAAGAGTAAATCTTCTCTCCTTTTTGTGCCTGCTATCTGCCTTTATTTTTTGGCTTTTATTCCACTCATCAAGTTTGCTTTGCACAGTGGTGTTTGCAGACCTTACACATGCTAACCGACGGCAGACTGCTGGCTAACCTGTGTTGGTTTGTGGTCTCATAACTCTCCTCTGCCTTCCTTCAAGGGCTTTCCTTTTTCCTGGTGATCGCTGTGCTCTGGGGTCCGACAGGCGCGCTCCTGTGAGCCTCGGGTGCGCCTCCTGAGCACAGTCTCCCTACTCTCTTCGTTGAAGAGCTGGTCTCCTAGGGTCTTAACTTCGGGGCAGGCCAGAAAGCCAGTGCCAGTGAGGTGTCTGCTCGTCCTCAGTGTCATCTGCCGAACCCTAACTTTGAGGTACGAGGTCACGTGTTAGTGAGCCTCCCACTACAAGAGAGACTTTGGAGAGGCGCTCCTGTTTCCATTGTTACTCAGCAAAACGTGCCTTGGACCCTGGATGTTACCTACTCATTTGGTCAGACCTCTGAAACGCCCCCTGGTGTTTGGTGAGATGTTACATATTCCTGTAAAGGGTTGAATTGGAGACCTAAAAGGTGGATTCTAGAGGACGCCCGTCCTGAAAAGCTAGTGTTTGTGGGGACAAGGTTAGGGGAAAAGGACTCCTGCCCCCAGTGAAAGACTCTGAGGTCCTTCCCCGGCGGGTTTCGCCAAGCTGCTGAAGCGGCTCTCGTGAAGCTGTGAGGACGCCTGTGCACAAAGCACTTCCCGACCCTACGTGTGGCCTGATCTTGGTGCTCTAACCCGAGGGACAGGCTTTGTGCAGCCCTCGTAATGCATGTCTTAGCAGCTTGCTGTTTCCTTACAGACAGCTCTAGGCATCTTCCAGGTGATCCTGCAGTCCAACCTTCATGCTGCTGTTCTCATTCTGTGAAGGTTGCACGTGGTCGCTGAAGTGCAGCCTGTGACACTGGGCTAGCCGCCTCTGTCTGGTTAGGTGGTTTCATCGGCCCCATCTTCGTATGTGAAACATCCTTCCCTGCTGTGGAGACGGGCTTGGGAAAAGCTTGGTCATTCAAGCCACCAATAAATGTAGATGGATGCCCCTAAGTATTTACTGTTTTTATGCAGTTAAGGCTTCTCTACTCTTTGGACATTTGGTTTAATTCTGAGACCAGAATGCTAAAAAGTTCTGTTCAAAGGCAAGGGTCAAATCTGTTTTTGCAGTTGTCAGCCATGAGTCACTTCTCCAGGTTTCCCCAAATTAGCTTGAGAGAGACTGAGACAAACATTGACCTTTGGGAGCACAGCGTGGCTGCTATAATCATATAGTTACTTTCTATTATAATTATAGCTGGAATAGCTGGCTGGTTCCCCATGGATAACCCAAGCCATAAAGGGACAGTGCTTTGCTTCGGCAAAAACCTAAGGCTCGTGTTTCTGCTTTCTTGGTGCAGAAGGGTTTCACTCTGAATGTGTAATGGGGGCATCGCCTTTGCCAATCAAATGAGTGACAGGTTAACTCTAAAATGTGACAATCACATTTCCTCTTTGCTCACATAATTCTGTTTTTCCAAAGCTTTAGCAGCTTAATTAAATCTCTTGGACTGGAGGAGGAAAAACTGTTCTCGAGCAGTTTGCACGATATTCTTTAAGGAGGAAGAAAGCTAAAGAAACTCATCATCAGGCATGCTCGCCTTAAAGGTGGTAGTGGGTAAAATCTGGAGTTTCAGTGTTTTTAAAGATGCATATCTCATGTTTGGCGTTGGCCTCTAAGCCTAGTATTTCATGGGGAATTCTTGCTGTATTTTACATTGTGTACATTTAACTGCCTGACTAGCTTCCTTCATCCATGAAGACATTCTCACCACAGGGGGGTTGATAAAGCAGAGTAAAAATGTGCTGTTCGTGTGGTTTACTTGTAGTTTTGCCTCTAATGCAGACCCTGCGCTGCCTGAGTTATTGTCAGGATCAATTATGAAACAAGTTTGGTGCCTCCTCTTGATCATGTTTTTCCTCTTGTAGCAGTTGTGTTTAATGTCATTAAAAAGAAATAAAAGTTCTCGTTAGTGGCATATGTACTGGGACCGTCTGCTGCAGGCTTTGAAGGGCGGTTCCTTCCTCCTTTGCGTAGGTAGGTTAGTGGGATATGGGAGGGGGTGGCAATTAGTGGAACGTGGTACTGGGGAGGCAAGGGTGTGCGCTCCCTGTTCTTCGCAGGGTAAATTACAGTGTTGAGAAAGGCGTTCCAGCAGTGGAAAGAGGCTGAAAGTGATGGGGATTTGCAGCTGCATGTAGGGCACGTCAAGAGCCTGACATGGGGAGAGCCCGAAATACTGCTGCGCCACCATTCCTGCGGAGGGGAGAGAGGGCTCAGCCCATCAGACAGGCGTCGCCTTGCATTCTTCCCATGTCTGCGTGGCCGACCTCCGTGTCTCTGCCACCCAGAGTTCGCCCTGATTAAGGAAGACGCTCTCCTGGGACTTTCTCCCTTTGAAAGGGCTGTGAAGTCAGAATTGATAGTACGAAATTGATGGTTCTTTAGAAATCGAGTGCTCCTAGAATCTGGGCTGAAGGTTGGATAAGTACGGGTAGATGTGGGAGGCACGCTGTTCCTTAGATCCTTTTGTGAACCTGAGCTGCTTAGACTCATCCCCCAGGGGCAAGGATGAAAGGGACGGCGGTAATAGCTCGGCACCTATGTCAGCCAGTGCTTTTTAAATCTCAGCTCTTGCTGAGAAAATAAGTGGCAACATGTTTGGGCAGGCTTTCTGTGCTGCTGCTCTATAAATTTTATCTAGTATATATTTTACAGTCCAAGCAAAAGGTTCAGTTTAAATTTGCTAAATACTATTTGGTGTTCTTGTCTGGACCTGAGGGGTGTCTGCTCCACATGCCTCTACTTTGCTGCAGTCAGGTAGACGAGCCCGTGTTCAGTAATTGCGTATTTTCTTTTTAGCGACGTGTGAGTGTGGCCTTCAGAGACCAGGCTGGAGTCTCTGAAACGGTGTGTCCCTCCCTTATCCTTAGTTGGTTCCATGTTATGGGGAAGGGAGGAGAAACAGCCGATGGGCTCATTCTGTAACAATTCTTTAAAGCATTCTCCTGTTTTGAGCTTTTATAGGGAGAAAAAACACCCAGACACCTAAAACTAGAAAAAGTTCCCTGCTCTTCTGAGTGGTGTTCCGCTTTTCTAAGGGAAAACAATTACTCCTAGGCTGATTCCAAAGCAGGCCTGCTTTGCGTGCCAGAGCACCTCTTGAGGAGGTGGGGTGGGGAGAATTTCCACTTGTCACAGGAGGTGTCAGCTGGTCAGGAGTGGAATTCCTCAATGAACAAGCCCCTGCCTCCTCAGTCCTCCCCACCTGCCCTCCCCCGTGACAGCTGGAACATTCTATAGACAGAAAACCTGACCCTCCCTAGCACCCATTAAGAAGCGGATGGAATGCAATCATTTGGATAATCCCCAAAACAGTCCATGTGTTAGTCCTGCTATGTATCATGAAGGAACTATTTGTATGCAAAGATCTTCAATTTAGCTTCAAGTAACATTTGAGAGTCTGGAAATATACTGTTGGAACTCGGTGGGGTTGGAGCTGGGGGGGTGGGGGGTGGCATCCCATTTATATACACAATTTGTTCCTGGAGGCCACTTGAAATCAAAATCCAAAAACTGAAATAGGTTTAAAGGAGGTGAGAAGTAAAGTGGAAGTCTGAATTTACATATTTCTGTAAAGAGCTGAATTAGAGATCTTGAGTGGATTCTAGAGGTCATGCATCCTGAAAAGCTAGTGCTTGAGGGGACAGGACTAAGGAGGAAGGGACCCCTGCCCCCACAGAAAGACTCCACGGGCCTTCCCTACACTCTGGGCCCTTTCTTGTTCCTGCCCACGCCCCTAGTCAGGTGTGGTGGGGGGCACCTGGGAGTCCGCTGCTCTCACCCTTTGCTTTGCACAGACGAGACCACCCTACTCCCTAAGTAACTGGCCTGAAGTGTTAGGTGCATCCAAGGCGAATAGCACACTGAGCCGCATCCCTGCCTGTCAGTCCGGCATTCTCCCCGCAGGCCTGCTGTGGTCTGTGAGTCAGGTCTCGGTCTCAAAAGAATTTGCCTGGGCCCCTCCCACACTGAGGAGTCTGCGGAGCTGAGTGAGTGGTGCAGAAAGGACCACTTCCCAAATCATAGCTGTGGGGTTCTGTGCCATTACGTTGATTCAGGGAAAGTTCAACTGTTAGAAGAACTCAGGAGTGGAGGGAGCTAATTAATTAAAAGGCAGTGGAGTTGGAGCCAGGAGTGGTGTTCGCTCGTCTCCCCTCATCCCCTCCGCTGATGTGCTGCAGACACATTAGGGGGAGACAGGAAACTGCCATGAGCGCTGCTTCCTGGATCCCACCCACGGCTGTCTCCGCCTGGTGCTGACTTGGGGGCTTCTCCATCACTTGGCGCTGTGCAGACAGAGGACCTGGGAAATAACGCTCCGAGATTTGGCTTAGCGCTCCGTGTGCTAATGGGTTTCCCACTCAGCCTCTAAGACCGGCTTTCCTTCTGCTCTCCCAACAGCCTTCCCTGAGCTCAGACATTTTCTGCCGGAGCCCTTGCTGGTTCTGACCAGAATGTTCTGGGTGCCCCGAACATGGCTTGCTCCTTGGCTAAAGGCACCATCACTCTACCTTGCAGCCTGCTGTTGGGATCGGAATGATGTTCCTTTCACAGCCCAGAACAGCACGCTGCGCACACTGAGCTGCTCTGCGCACACTGGGCTGCTTGCGGCAGGCAGCGCTGGCAGTTCCTCCTCACTTTCCCCCTCACCCCTGGGAGAAACGGACGGCATTCCTCTGGCCAGGGAAAGCACCCAACCCCAGCCGAGGGGAAAGCCCTTTGTTTTAAAAACTGAGCACCAGCCTGCATACCTATGTGGTGAGGCAGCCTGAGCTTGGTTTGGGGGGCGGGGATGGAGCAGCTATTTTCTCCTCCTACACGTGCACCCCCATCTGTTCAAGATTTCCCTTCCAACTCCAGCTTGGCTGGCAGGCATGTCCCTAGGAAGCTGCAGGCCAAAATGGAGAGAGAACTGACTGGATGCCAACCGCCAGAAAAAGAGGGCAACGTTTGGGCATTTACCAGACAACAAGCATGTGCCTTTTCATTTTATCTTTTTATTTTACATTTAAAAAGTGGTTATTGCTCTAACTGGATCAGAGGTAAGGACCTCTCCCCTAAGGAGCCTTGGCCTTGCAGCCCCGTTCAGCAGGGATGGAAGTCACAAGACAATGAGTGAAGCCTCATGCCCTCCCATGAGGAAGCCCTTAGGATTGCCGACATCTGCCTTTTTCCCTTTCCCTCCTCCCTCCCTATGCTTCACACTCGGGCAAAGCAGAGTGGTGGCTGGCCCGGCCAGGAGAGCTTTTGTAGACCGGAAGGAAGGGGTGGTCACTGGGTGATGGCTTTCAGCTCTCTGGCTTGGGGGCTATTGCTCTTATTCAGTTCAACAGGTATCACAGAGCACCTACTGTGCGCCACGCTGGTGCTAGGCGCAGTCCTCCCACACTCCTGTCTGTGGCCACTGCTGGAAGATGCAGAGGTCCGTCTCTTCCCGTGCAGGCACTCAGCAGCCGTAACTTGTCTAGGGAAGAGTTTGTCTTCCCTTATCAAGCACCATTTGGGGGGGGGGCAGTGGGGAGAGACACCTGTCACCTCGCACCACACAGGCTCTAGGGAAGGACATGAGGACCCTGGGTAGCTTTCACAGAACCCTGGGTGAGATGGCAAGATATGGGGACCCCAAAGGCCAGGCCTGCCTTCCAGCAGCTTCCACGACAGCGTGCGTGACTCAGCAGCCCTCAGGATGCCCCGTGGGAATGTGCCTTTTCAGTCGTCCAAGCTAGCGTTGAAGCAACTCCGAGAGATTTTTCCCAAGAAGAAATGGGGCCCATACCTTCCAGGTGTCTTTCCCACTTTTCCTTCTTAAAACCCCAGACCGAGGGTTTTACAGTCCAAATAGGGGCTGGAGAAGACGGGATGCAGGCAGCCGGCGCGGGGAGCCCTTCCGCCCTCGGGAGGGAAGCCCTTCGATCGTGTCTTCCAAGAGACAAAACAGGTACCGTGTCACACACTCACAAAGTCTCGCCTCACACCACAGACCAGTCCTCGATGGCTGGACCCAGAGAAGGCTTGACAGCAGCTGTGACCCTGCCGGCGGGCACCCCGTGGCGTCCCTGGGGGTGCTCGGTCTGAACGACAGCTTCGGTCCCTCTAGGTTCCCGTCGTCTCCCATAAGCTTTGTGCGTCTTCTCCGGGAGAGATCCAGTCCAGGAGACGAGAGGAGGCAGGAAGAAGGCCGTGTCTCATGCAGCTTCGCCTGTTGCAGAATGGGGCCAGGCCTTTGAGTAGTGTGGCTTGTTTATTTTTTTGCAGAATTAGGGTTTGTAGTGTAGCCTCCTTCACCAGACTTGGACACGGCGGCGGGGGGTGGGGGGAGGGGGACGACACGAAGGTGCGGCTAGCTGCACTCCCTCCACCGCAGTCCCCCTTCTCCCTGTGCCTGTGGGCCTGGGGACCAGCAGAGAAGAAAAATGAAATCCTCTCCCTGCAGACGGGGCTCACGCTTCGATGACGTTCCCCGAGAGCTTGTTTGGAAACTCAGGGGGAAACATGAGAGAAGCGGCCAGGGCTGATTGAACGACTTCTTGTGAGACCGGAAGCAGAGAGGGCAGGAGAGGGAAGGGAGCAGCAGGGCCGCGGCCTAGAAGCCTGGCTCTCCTCCAGTCCGGCGTGGAAGGAAGGGAGCGGCCCCGCCCAGGTGTCTCGTCTCTGCCTTTCCAAACCCAGCCTTCGGCCGCACTCCGCCAAATGGTCAAGCCGGGGTCCTGGACCCACCGTCCCTGGTACCAAGTCCACCCCCACAGAGCCATCCTGCTGGCTGGCTCTCACATCCTGCAGATCTGCCTCTCAGCACAGCCTCAGCCACAGACACTGTTGAGGTGCTTCTGGAGATGGGGGTTAATAAGAGGCTTCAGGAAAATGCGCCAGAAAGAGAGAAGCCAAGAGACAGGACGGAGCGCCAGAGGGTGTAAGGAGATGCAGGGAGGAGGAAATGTAGAGAGGGCCAGGTGTTTGTTGGATAATCATCGTCAGAACCATGAGATCCTCTCACATCCTCTACTGCCTGTCTTCTGCGCTGCTCAGAGCCAGCACTGGAAAGGGTTCATATCTGTTTTACACAAGAGGAAATGAAGGTACAGAGTAATGAAGCACCTGCCCAAGGTCGCACAGCACAGCCGGAGTGGAAATGAGCTCAGAAGCCCTTCTCTTCTCGTCCCACACCAATCAAGGGTTCTGCCCTCCCCATTCACTTCCCCGGCCCCCACTCTTAACCCCGACCAGCCCCTGGCTCCCTGCAGGAGGACAGGATCCAAAATCAATTTGCAGTATCCCCTGGGTTACACAGGCAGCAGCCAGGCTTGGCTCTGTCCGGCTGTAGGCATGCCAGGCCCTGAGCTGACCCCTTCTGGCATCCAGGGACTCCCAGTGCAGGAGCCCTGCGGCCACCCACTCGGGTCCCAGCCCGGCCCTCACCTTGCTGCGGAGAAGACCCCCGCCCTGGTGCTCGGGTGTGCTGGTTTCTGACGCACTCTTGGCTTTCTCCTTGTTGTTATTGGGTTCGTTGTCCTTGATAATGTCATACTGGCGGCAGAAGAGAACAATGACGCCTAGGGGGGACAAGGCAGAGCAGTCAGAGCCCTCGCCACCTGCTTCGCTCCCGTGAGCACTTGCTGAGCTCCTGTTAGGTGCCGAGCTCCAGATGGTCTCTCACCTGCGCGACTGCCAACAGTCTGCCTCTGGCCTCCGGCTCCTGCGTCCAACCTGTGCCCTTGCCACCTGCCCCCTTCGCTGCCGCTGGGCTGGCCTTCTACAACACGCATGTGAGCGTGTCTCCTCCCCTCCCCCCTTTTAAATCCCCGAATACTCCCCTTTTCTTTTAGGAGAGAACAGACACACGTGCCAAGCCCTGTGTGGGGCACTGGCCTACCCTAGCCGACTCGCCCTCACAGCACGGGGAGGGTCCGTCACCGTGCCCAGGTGAGGAGGGAGGGTGCTGACTCGGGGCTTCCACAGCTCACAGGAGGCCGCTCAGGGGCGGAGATGGGGTGCGCACCCCGGCGCCTGCACCCTGCTACATGCTTATGAAGCCTCACAACTCCCCCCACCGCCGCTCCCTTCCCTTCCCCGTCATCCTCACAGAAGTGCGTGACAACTGTGAGTTAATTCACTATGTTTAATATTGTTGTGAGGATGTAATACTATCTGTGCTAGGTCTAATACTGCGCCCTAAAGCAAACCTCCTCTTTTGTAGAAACCTTTGTTTCTTCCTGCTCTTTCCCAAGTGCCTGTTTGTCTACGTGCCTGTGGAACATTGTTTTCCAAACTCTCCTACCTGAGAGAGCCGGCCCCCCCACCCGCCATGCTCACACAGCTTCAGCACGGCGGTTGGGTCCCTCAGAACAGACCCCAGTCCACTGCACGGCCTCACCATCCTTGACTCCCCCACTTTCCACCCTTTTCCTTGGGTCCCAGCTGCACTGAGCCAGAGTGAACTGAATTTGTTTCTTGAACACGCGGTGCCCGGAACACCCTTTCTTCCTCCTTCTGGCTGCCTGGTGAACTCCTGTTCACCCTGCCATGCTCAAATTCACGTTACCGCTCTTCGTGCCTTGCTGCTTTGACTCCCTCTCCTCTGCTCCCATCTGTGGTTCTGTTCGACACTCGTCCCCTTGAATTACAGGTAAGTACGGGCCTGGCTGCTCCCAGACTGAGCTGCTTCGGAACACGAGGCTCTCTCTTCTCCGTCACAGCTGTAGCACTACCGGGAGTGCACTGTCTGGAGTGCAGCACTGTACGGAATGGGGCGGCTGTTCAGACAATGCTGGCTGAGTACAAAAATGAAACTTGATCTTTATCCTCAGGGAGCTCACAGATAAATGGGAAAAGAGCTATTAAGTCCAACTAATTGATGTAAGATGGGCTGAAGAGTGGCAAACAACCCTGGCCGGGTGGCTCAGTTGGTTGGAGCACCGTCCCGTACGCCGAAAGGCCGTGGGTATGATCCCCTGTTGGGGTGTGCATGGGAGGCAACCCATAGATGTTTCTCTCTCATGTCGAGTTTCTCTCCCTTCCTCTTTCTCTAAAATCAGCCAACACATCCTTGGGTGGGGATTAAAAATGAGAGGAGGGGAAACTGGGCTGCAGAGGCGCGGAGGCAGGGGTGACACGCTGGTGCGTGGACTGGGGAGGGTTGATGGAGGCGGTTCCCGAGCCAGTGCAGAGGGATGAGCAGGTAAGTGCGTGTCCCGGGCCTGAGCTGCCCCGGCCTGCAGCACCCGGAGGCCCAGGAACCCGCGGTGCGGGCGCCGTAGCCACAGGGCAGACGGGCTGCGGCTGTGTCCTCACAAGGCAGTTCTCCGTCTGCTGTTTTGTTGGTGGGGGCTGAGTTAGAGAAGGGCTCAGATCTGGTCCCCAGAGCAGTCCCAGGCAGGACTTGGAAACTTCTGACCTCTTAGCTCCCTCCAAGCCCCGTACCGTTTGTTTTTATGAGAGCAGGGGTCTGCTGAGGGTCCTCCCCAGCCTGAAGGTTGACTGGAGAGGCTCGGAGGCCAGACTCACCGGCCCACATGAACAGGACCACGACAATGATCAGCACCTCGCCCGTCTGCAGCTGCTGGCTCCTCCCCATCTCCTTCATGGTCACCTCATCTGTGGGGGAGAGACAACAGGGCTGGGCTCCTTCCCCCTGCCAGCCACTCCTCTGCGGCCAAGCCCAAGACACTGAGTGCTTGCTTCTATAGGTGCCCATGAATCTCTCAGAAGGAAGTTGTAGCCCTGGCTGGGGTGGCTCAGTGGACTGAGCACTGACCTGCAAACCGAAAGGTTGCCAGTTTGATCCCTGGTCAGGGTACATGCCCGGGTTGTGGTCTAGGTCCCCAGCTGGGGGTGCACAAGAGGCAAACCGATCGAGGTATGTCTCACACATCGATGTTTCTCTCCCCCTTTCTCTAAAAGTAAATAAGTAAATATTTTTTAAAAAGTTCTAGAATGGCCCTGGCCGGCGTAGCTCAGTGGACTGAGCGCGGGCTGCGAACCAGAGCGTCGCAGGTTCGATTCCCAGTCAGGTCACATGCCTGGGTTGCAGGCCACGGCCCCCAGCAACCGCACATTGATGTTTCTCTCTCTCGCTCTTTCTCCCTCCCTTCCCTCTCTAAAAATAAATAAATAAAATCTTAAAAAAAGTTCTAGAATGTACTGATGGTTACTTGGGGTTGAAGCAATAAGACAGTCCAGAATTAAATGTTTACGTACCCAACCTCCCACCACTGTGGCCCTGATCAGCCCTTTCCCGCCCTCCCCACCTCCTAACAGCGAAGGAGCCTGCCTTTGTTCTTGGAGGTCATCTTCTCCGCCTCGCGCGGGGTCTTGAAGAGCACCGGCTCGCTGGCCGGACTCTGGCCCTGGATGGAGATGGCCTGAACGTGCACGATGTACTCCGTGTCCTCCTCCAGGTCCCAGAGGGCGCACGAGCGGGTGGTGGTGTTCACCTCCTGGATGAAGCGCAGCATCCGCACGTCCTTCTTCTGCCAAGGCAAGAGCCCCCACCCCGATTCAGGGCCCAGTCACCGCCCCACTCCGCGTCTCTCCGGTGGTGACAGCGGGCCCGCCCGGCTGCCATGCTAAGCCCTGTGCACACAGGACCTGACTTCTGCGTTCCCTCATCTCTGCAGATACCACCATCGCTGCTTTACAGATGGGGAGACGGGTCAGAGGGCAGGGGAGCTGCTCAAAGCTGCATGTTTCATGAGGACCGGAGCCCGGTCCAAACCGCAGGTCCGTTTAAGATCAAAACCACACTCCTAATTCTCAGGATCCAGACAAAAGCTCCGGAGCCCTCCCTCCCTGACTGAGCCCCTCTGGGGCCCCCCTTTCAAGCCTTATGTGCGACTCTCTGCCTGTCTGCCTTACTCCTCAGTCCTCTCCCTTTCTCCTGCCCCATCGGCCACTGCTGTCTCAATGTGCTCTCCCCTCCCGAGGGTCACCTGCTGAGAGATGGCAAATCCGATGACAACTTCATCCTCCAGGACATCCCAGCTCACCACCGCGGAGTTGGCCTTGAGGTGCCTCACGGTGACATTCACTGGGGCGGAGGGGCTGTCTGGGGGCAGGAAGGCACCTGAGCCTGAGCGCCCCCCGCTGGGAGGCCCAGGCCCTCTGCCGCGGAAGGGGAAACCTGCAGCAGGCCGTGCAGTGGCGGGGGGCGGGGGGGGGGGGGGAGAAACCGAGGCCTCCATGGCCATGGCATTTGGGCTTCAGTCCCTCGGTGGGCAGCAGGGCGAGGCCGGAGAGGCCCCAGGCTCCTTGTGTTCAGGGTGGGAGCCTCAGATGGCCACAACTGGCCCTGCCAGGGGTCCAAGCTGAAATTGAGGGGCCGGGGCCACAGCTAGCTATAATGGAGGGGCGTTAAGAGGTGTGGGGGGGCTGGCTGGGGAGGACACAGGTAGCCAGGGTTGCAGCAGCTGAAGGTTAGTCTGATGGAAAGCAGTCAAAGGAACCCCAGTCCAGTGCTCTTTCCACAGTGCTGCACTGTTAAGTGGGTGACCTTGAGGAAAGGGGTGAGACACACGGGTCAAGAGGCAGCAGGCTGGGGCAAGCCCTGGGACGGGAGAGAGGATGAAGAGGGGGTCCCCTGGACTGCGGTGACCCAGGCAGAGTGAAGCGAGAGGGCCTCTGTGAGCTCGAGGGGCAGGTGGGGGGTGGGCGGGACCGGTCACTCAGAGCAGGAATCAAGAACACAGGATAAGGAGGGCCTTCAGGATGTGGGACGAGGACGGAAGGGGGTCACCTGAGAAGGGAGCAGCAGGAAGTGGTGGGGCAGTGGGGTCGGGGAAGGAAGAACCTTCTAGGAGAAGGTCAGTGGAGTCACACAGCCTCTCTGCCTCACAAGGGGCAGGGGCTCGCCCCACAGACGAGTGGGTCCGAGACCCAAGAGGAGACAGAGCCAGACGTGGACGCGGAGCCGGAGGGACACAGACAGGTGGCGGCGTACACAGACCCGAGAACAGTGGAGCGGGGTAGCAGAGACAGACACACAGATGGAAGCAGTGAGACAGACAGTGCTGGGCCGTGGAGAGACGGACAGAGGGAGACACCAAGTAGGAAACGGCAGCCTGAAGGGCCCGAGACAGGGCCTCAGGGAGGCTGAGCGAGGATGAGGCCAGGCCTCACGGGACAGGCCAGACGCTGAGGGCACCAGGCTAAGGGGACCACCCTCGCCCGCCAGGTGCCATCGGTGCCAGTCCTCGCACGCATCCTCACACACAGGCTCACGCACACCGGGACCCCACCGGGACCCCGTTCCTCTCTGACCTGCAGAGTTGACCTGCAGTCTTTGGGGACAGGGAGGGAGGCCCACGGTGCGGGGACTGGTGTCCTCAGATGCTCCCGGGGCCAGAGGAGGGAGCCAGGGCAACTGAGGCAAAGGCCTAGGCTCAGGGCAATGGAATGAGGCGACTGAGGATCACAAGACTCATGCCCCAGGGCTGGGGTGGCTGGAAAGGATGGGGAGGGGCTGGAGGATGGGACGGGGTTAAGATGGCAGGGAAGAGGCTGAGGGTGGCGTTAGGGAGCAGTGAGAGGGTAGAGACGGGTTCCCAGGGAGCGGGGAGAAGGAAGTGGGGGCTCCCGCCGCCCGGCCCGCGCCCAGGCCCCCTTACCCGCCTGCACGAGCGCGAGGCAGACGCAGCCCAGCCACAGGCGGAGTGCGGTGCGGGGCGGCCCGGGGTGCATGGTAGCGGCTCCGGCCGGCCGGCCCGGGGCGGCGCAGGGGGACGCAGCTCTGGTGTCCAGCGGCCGCTGGCGCTTGCACTCCGGCCCGCGGCCCGGCCGCCCCGCGCCGCCCCGCGCCGCTTGCATGTCGGCTCCGCGGACAGCGACTCCCGCGCGGCGGCGGTGGCGGCGGCGGTGGCGGCAGCCGCGTCCACGTCGGGCACCCGGGGGGCGGGGCGCCCCCCGCTGCAGGGAGAGGCGCGGGGCGGAGTGAGGGCGGAGGGCCGAGGGCGCCCCCACCCACCCCGCTCCCGACTCGGCCTGCCGCTGGGTCCGCGGGGCTCGACAACTGGCCGCTCCCACCCTCTCGCCGGTGCAGGAGCGCAAACGGGGTTCTCCGTGCCCCACCTGCTCAGCCCCAACCTCCCTGCCCCTCTCCCCGCACAGAGCCCAGACCCAGACCCCATCTCTGCTCTCTACGGAGGGAGGAGAACAAGTGCTATGGAGATGCCTCTCTCTGCCTCTTCCATCCTTCGGCTTTGGGGGTCCTCACCCCTCCCTCTACCCTAGACCCGAGGGGTAGAGGGAGGGGTGGGGCAGGAGTGAGCAGGGGGCATAATCACAGCAGGGATCGGGTGACTGTGGAGTGCAGGGTAGGTGCTGAGTGCACACAGTAGGGGCTCTGGCTCACTGGAGGGCCTAGCTCTGTGACCTCTGGCTCTGTGACCTCTGGCCAGTCCTTCCCCTTTTGGGGCCTCCCTTTCTATCTCCATACGGAGAGCGGCAATGAGCCTTTACTGGGTGGCAGATACTGTGCGAAGGGCTTTACTTGCATTATGTCACTGACGTCTCACCGATGAGGCCTTGCTTTGCTGTTCGAGTTTTGCACAGGAGGAGACCGCAGCGGTCACTTGACTTGCCCAAGGACCCACCGCAGAGCCAGGATTTGAAAACAGGCTGATCTGACTCCCGAACCTGTGCTCCACACGACTGCCACCCACCTAAAGTGGGCTCGGTCACCCTGGGATCCCTGAGATCCTAGAATACTGTGCCAGCTCCTTCCCACCCGGAGAGTGATCTGGAACAATCTTTTCCCAAGAGCAGGGGGAGGGAAGAGCGGCTCCAGTGCCCCCACCCCTCCCATACCAGCCCGGCTGAACGCTGCGAGCAGTGAAGAAGCTAATGACTAAAGGGCAGGGGCTTTGGAGCCCAGGCAAGCAGCCACCGTTAAGAACAGGGCTTGGATGACCCCTCCCTCATTACCTTGGGGCACCCATAGGCCTGCCACTGCTCCTACCTCAGTCCCACACCCCATTCTACCCAATCCACTTCTTTTCAGGTCTTGGAGTGCAAGAAAAATGCCTTCACCCCGCACCTGCCGTCTCCTCGACCAAAGGAGGATCTCTGAACACTGGGCAGCTAGGGAAACTCCCTTCTCCCACCCTGCCACACTCTCCACCCGAGTGCCTGAGAAACAGGTTGGGGGGGGGGAGGCACAGACGGGGCCCCAGGGCCCACAGCATGGAGGGGCCGCCCACCTCTCCAAATGAGCCCCTCTCCCCACTGTCTGAAATCCCATCATTAGAAAGGCATTCCTTTGGACCTTAAAGGCCTCCTGGTCTTCCAGAGGCCCCTGGGAGGGCTAATCCTTTGTGAGGGGACCCCTTGCAAAGCTACTGCACAGACTCACCTTTAAGATCTCCCCACTCCCCCTTTTAGATTAAGAAACTGGGGTCCAGAGATGGAAAGAGCTTGGTGCAAATTCACACCGTGAGTCAAGAGCAACAACAGAGCCCTCAGCTCGTAATGCTCGCCCCCAGGGCTCCTTGTGCTGGGTGTGGAATTTCTACTTGATCACCTTGGGAGGGGTGAGAAGGGAGGGGGGCGGGGGTCTTGCTGAGCAGCGAAATCTCATTAGCCAGCCCCTCAGTACCCCCAGGCCTGCTCTGCTTGGCAGGCTGGCACTCCCCCAGCCCCATCGGCTTCCTCAGCCACATACCTTGTTCTGGAGTGATTCTCGGTTGTGGCCCTGGTCCAGAGGGCAGTCCCCTGGTCCGCCTATTTGGGATAGGAGCCTGGGAACCAGAGCGCCTCTCTCTGTCCTTTATCTCTTCTTTCTCTTTTTCTTTTTTTTCTTCTCTCTCTCCTTTCTCTTTTCTCTTTCTCTCTCCGGCAGCTGCTTTCTGCCCCACCCTACCCGGCCGCGCCCAGCCAGCTGCAGCTTGGCCCCTAGGGACCCCCTCACCCACCAGGCAGGAAAGGACAACCCAGGGCTTGCAGGAGCAACTGGCGTTTCCTTAGGTCTCCTTTCAGGGGCCAACAGGAAAGAGAGGGGTCATCTAAAGGGCACAGAGCCCACTCCTGTTCCTGATGGGGAAAGGAGGGAGGGACAGGGTCCTAGTGGGGTCTGGAGTCCGGTCCAGCGCTGGGGAAAAAGGAGCCTCAGCACCACCTGCTGGTCGCTCTCGGTATAACCCCAGGTAGATGTAGGGCATTGGGAGGGGGGAGATGGTTGTGTCTGAGAGTTTGAGAGAGATGGGGAAGGGTTACTGGAGTTGGGACAGGAAAGACGGGGAGGATGTGGGGGCACAACCTCCACAGACCCCATGACACTTGGGGTGCTTGAGCATGACCTTGATGCTGGGGAAAGTCCTTACGCTCGGAGTGTGGCAACCCTGGGAAGCTGGGTTGGGATCTCTCCCAGCTGGGAGAGAACTGGGGAGGTCCAGAGGCACCCTGGCTGGTCTTGGGAAGGAGTCATCAAGGCCATTCACTCCATACAAATCTCTTAATACAGAGCTAAGAGCGGCAGGTGCCCGTGAGTGCTTGTTGAATGCATGGAACAATTTTGCTCTCTCAGCACACGTTTATTTAACACCTATTCTGGAAATACAGCCGTGGAAGGATGGATCAGTGCACGAATGAGGATCTGAGCGGGGGTTGGTGGGTGGGCCTCTGCCCTCCCAAGCCGCACCGATGTGGGTCCAGTTGGAGGGCTCCTCAGACGTCTCCTAGGGGGCTGGCCGGCCACTTACACATTGACACCTGGTGAGGTCAGGGGCATTTGGATGTCCTTGAGCATCTAGAGCTTCCCGGAGTCCCAGCACCTAACCCAGGCTGCAGGTACCGCAGCCAGATCCCAGGTAACCATGGGAAGGCTCCTCTTCGCTGCCTAGAATGGCTGTGGCCCTATGTAGAAGGCCCCTGGATGCACACACCCAAAACCATGTGAAGAATCAGGAGAAGGGCAGGACATTGCTTCGGGGATATAATCATCAAGCCCCCACTAACGACTTGCCTGTTTGTCCACGCAATGTTGAGTCTTAGGCTGTGTGTTTTTAGCTCCCGTTCCAGATAAGGCAGCTGAGGTTCCCACATGTGTGAGGACTTGCTCTGAGCCACACAGCTGGGGAATTATAGAGTCATGTCTCAAGTTTGGTTATGGGGCTCCAAGTTTAGGGTTCGATCCAGTCTGCCCACCTCCTTCCTTCACCTCTGAGGGTGTCTCAAGGCAGAGGCCCCGGGCCAGGGAAGACATGCATTCTAGAAGACATGCATCCTCCTTCCCTGGAGGGCCTGAGGGGGCTTGCAGCTCAAAGAGACCGTTGCTAAGCTTAGGGTCCAGACCACAGCTGGGAAGGAACCCACCACTCCCCCAACCCCATCCCTGTGCCAGCCCATTACATACACGGGAGAAACTTCTTTTGAATCCTCTCAACCCCGAGAAGTCAGGATTGTTATATCCATTTTACAGACGAGGAAATGAGGCTCGAAGAGAGGAAGTCACATGGCTGGGAGACTGGTTTGACCCGTCTCATCCCCCACACTCCCATCACAGCAGTGATGGGACCAGTGCAGCTCCACGTGTCCTGAGTACCTGTGCCGGGCCAGCCTGGTGCTGAGTGCTGAGGCAGACTGGTGATGGGCCAGACTGGTCCTTGCCCTCGAGGGGCTCCCATGGTAGAGAAGGAGAAACACATTCTTAAAATATAGAGAGTGGACTACCCTCTGGACCAGGAGGCACCAATAATCTACAGGGGCCAGAAGTAAGCATTAACTTGAAAGGAAAAGCATGGAGGGCTGCTGGGAGGAGGTGATGCTTGAGCTACATTACTACTGACAGTCAGGTGAGGATTAGTCAGACCAGGGGAAAAGGGAAGAGGGGAAAAAGAATATTTGGTCCCAAGGCCTGGGAGAGCTGAGTTTCTGTGGAAGGGAAACAGAGTAGGGTGGGTGGGGTGGGTGGGAGAGATTGTGACAGGCTCTGGGCTGTGACAATGACAGTGGGAAAATAGGACTGATTTGAACGACTGTTCCAGGCTTGCAAAAGAAGTCAAGGCTGGGGAGAGCTTTTCTCATTTAACAAATACTTATGGAGCACCTCCGAAGTGTCAGGCGCTACGCTAGGTCCTGGGGCCACAGCTGTGAACCAAGGCCACCCACCCCTATGGATTTCCAGTGGGAGAGACAGGCAATAAACAAGTGAGCTGCTAACTAAATACAATGTCTGCAGGGACTCACAGGGGCTATGAAAAAAACGGGGTAATGTGGTAGAGAATGGATGGGGTAATGTTAGGTAGTGTGGCCTGAGGAGGTGACAGATGAGCTAAGACTGAGGAAGGAAAAGGAGGCAGGTACAACACACATCACAGCAAAGGTGCCCCAGCCACAGGAACAACAAGTGCAAAGGCCCTGGGGCAGGGGCCAGCTTGGTATGTTAAGAAAACTTGAAGCCAGTGAGACTGGGGCTGCATGAGCAAGAAGGAGGAAATAAGGGCACAGGGCCTGGGGCAGGGAGGGCTGTGGAAAAGTCTGGGTTAATTCCACTTGCAGTGGGGAGCCTTAAAGAGAGACATGGTGTGATCTGATTTATATAAAATAAATGGTTCCCAGTGCCTGCTGCAGTGTGTAGACGAGACTGCAGAAAACTGGGCCAGGTGACCCGTGAGGGGGCGAGGAGGTTGCTCCGGCCACCTGGCTAGAAAGGATGGATCTTGGCCTGGGTGGTGGCAAAGGACAGGGAGAGGAGTCGATAGAGGCTCTGGGACACTTTCTGTAGGAGGAGCTGAGGGATGAGACTCGGGGAGTGAGGAGAGAGGAGGCGGAGAGTGAACAGGGCAGGGGCCAGCTGTCCAAAGTCTGGCTTCTAAACCAGAAACACCTGGCTGGGTGTCTCTGGCCAGTTACTCTACCTCCCCCAGCCTCAGGTGCCGCCTGTTGAAAACGAAGATAATAGTAACACCCATACCACAGAGGGGTGGGAGTGGTGATGGGGGCTGGGAAAGAGGAGGAAGAGAGGAATAAAGGGGGTGGAGAGAGGAGGAGGGAGGAACCCGAAGGGGGGGAAGCGGGGCCTTCTGACTGGGAGAAGGGCACCTCCTCAGAGTCTGGTGGGAACTGACTCCCATCTGACAGAGAGGCTGAGAATCTCTCCCAGCGTCACCCAGCCTGTCAGTGGCAGCTCCATGTCTCAAACTGCCTCAAGCCCTGGCCCCAGGTTTGCTTCTGGAGACAGATTCTGAGCTATAAACCACAGTCTCCAAGATGTGGAGGGGCGTGCGGCAGGAAGGGAAGGCAACTGAAGTAACATCTCTTCCTCACCAGGGAGGGGTGGAAGGCCAAGAACCTGGGAATCGCTCAGCCACTAAGCTCAAGCCTCAGCTCGGCCCCCGAGTGGCTGAGTGACCTCAGGTATCACTGTCTGAAGGCAGGCTCCAAGGCTCCAGGACTCCAGGGCCCCGGGCACCTCCCATATCCCACATCTCAGTTATAGGAGGGTCTCCCCTGCTCAGAAAGAACAGGGCTCTGCAGAGCCAGGACATGGCCAGCAGAGGGCGCCCACCTTGGTCATCGTGAAGCTGCTGTAGCCCAGAACAGGGAAGGCTCCAGGGACACAGCACCTGGCTGGGAGAGGTCGCCCAGCCTCCTGCTGTGCTCCCTTGGCCCGTCCACAGATTAGCAGACCACAGCTGAATCTTGCTGCTGCCGCTGCTGCACTGAGCACAAGTCACTGAATCTCCAGAGCTGCAGTGCCCTCATGTGTAAATGGGCTCGTGCTCAACAGTTCTGTGAGAGGACAATGAAGATCAACCACATATGGGGCCGAACACACAGCAGCTTCTATTGTTTTTTAACCCTCACCCGAGGATATGTACTAACTTTAGAGAGAGAGAGGAAGGGAGAGAGAGAAACATTGATCGGCTGCCTCTTGTGTGCGTCTCAGCCGGGGATTGGACCCACAACCTAGTTATGTGCTCCCACCACGGACAAAACCTCCACCGTTTGGCATGAGGGATGACACTCCAACCAAATGAACCACCTGGCTAGGGCCACAGCTGCTATTTTTAATAGCAGTGGTGGCGGTTGTAATATATCTTAAAGTGCCCTACACAAAGGGTGTCCAATCAGTGGTAGCTATGACGACGGCAATGACGATGATAATGGTGCAGGACTCAGTCATTGTTTATTTTGAATTTTCTAACCCAGAAGCATCCAAGGCCTATTCACCTGGGATGCCTCCAAGGACAGGAAGTTCACTACCTCTCAGCAGCACGTTTTCACTGTCAGATCGTCCTCTTGCTGAAAGCTGCCTCCTGGAAGACATACTCCTGGCTCAGGGTGACCCCTGGCCTAGCTTCTGCCTTCAGTCCCCTTGCTTCCCCAGGGCCTGCCTGAGAGGCACACGAGGTCAGAGAGCCCGGCCCCCGGCAGCTGCGTTCCTGCTTTTGCAAGAAGGGCAGGGAGCTCACAAGTGAACCCAGGTGACTTCACCAGCAGGAAATTCCCAGTGGGTCTTATTCTTGCTATTCAAAGTTCCTCTCCTGCTAACAGGGAAAAAATAATTGGAAGGAAAGCCCTCTGCTGTCCTCTGGAGCTCCCTGCACTCCTCGGTCTCAGGAATGGTAGGAAGCCAGAGAGGGAATCTGAGGACCCCGTCACACGTCCGGGATCCCACGCATTCCTGGCCCCCTGCGCCAGGCCTCCCCGTCTGCATCTGTGGGTCTGGCATTGAGGGATCTGGTGGATGGGGCGGGAGCCAAGCAGTCCTGGGCTCAAATCTCAGCTTGGTCACATGTGCTCACAAGGGGCATGGGTGCACACACGTGCACTGGGCGTGCGCACATGTACAAAGGTGTGTGCGAGCGTGCATGTGCTTGTGTGCATGCACCCATGGCTGCCCATCCAGGGATTCCCTGGGCACATGCGTGCT